TACTTTAGGGTTCTATAATAAGGTCCCCGTTAAGGTTACTTTAGGGTTCTAAGGATCCGGAACTCCTACACCTGGCCTGGCCAGAGCTGCAGAGATGCCGCCAAGCCGCCAGGCAACTGCGCCAGGGAGCCGTAACCCCCAAAGCCGTTTCGAGGTCATGTCTAGAGTCTCCATGGTACTTCCTTTTGTGGTTTAGGGTTTAGGGGCTGCCTTATGGGACCCTAAACGTAAAAAATGTTATCCCCCAAAAGAGAAACCACAATGAGACTAGAGGTAGAATCTATCTGAGCGGGGTTCCATGCTTGGGATATCAAGTGGTATAGTTGCACCTGTACTATACTATCCGGTTATCTTATTGACCCCAAACGCCCTCAAAACCAAACCCTGCACCTGGCTATCGCCACCACCCGTTTGTAGAAAAGCGAATCTCTGGGTCAAGACGTGCTTAAATAAATGACGCACAGACAAACTGCACCCCAAGCGGCAAGTCCTGAACCCCGAATCACCTAGTACCTACTCATGGCATGACAGCCGGAACAGCAAATACCCAAACCTATAAACTTGTTCATCCATCCTAAACCCTAAAGATTTTTCATCATAGTTTCTCATCTTGAGAACCCTAAACCCTAAACCCATAATGCAACCCAAGCTCGTACATCTTGGACAGTAAGCAAAGCCCGCGATCTCCGCGAAGATACGTCCGGAAACCCATTGAAAAGCTCGAAGAGTGGCCATTGCAACAAACACATGGGTGGTTGTCAAANNACCCCAAAAGGGACCATGATTTTCACAACTACCAACATGGTTGGGGCTGATAGGGTATGTATGAGCGGTAGGTCGAAGAGAAGCTGTTTCATTCAGATACCTCGTTTAGGTTTTAGATATTACTATTGGAGTGCTCTTGCCCTGTCTTTGTGAAAAAATCACGTTTCGAGCGCTCCAGATCCTTGAGAGTTGGGGCAATTGCGGGCTCGGAATTTCTCGAAACCCAATCCCTGAGCCACCCCTCCACGCGACGCTGCTGTGGGGCCAACAGCGCTCGGGTAAGGCGCGCTGCTGCAGCCCCACACTGAAAGCTGCATAGCGCCTCGGTTTGGGTGCAACCTTCCCCTATTTGCTTTCAGAGGTATTGGGTCGGGAGTTTAAGTTTTCGCTGGGGTTTAGGGTTTAGGGTTTGGGCTAAACTGGAAGCCGCCCTAGGCTACACCCAAAAGCCCACTTGCAAGACCCTAAGACTCACAATCCATCCCACAACGAATCTGTGTCCCTTGGCTCTCCTGAAACTGATCCCGCCCCCGCACCACATAAGAGTAAGCCTGGCATCGTAAGGATAAAGCAGGTAACGTAGGGGCCTCAATAACTAGA